ACCCGGTGTCCTTTTCCCCACCTAGGAACAAGCGCGCCTGTGGAGAAATCCCAAAGGCCAAAAAGAGGAAGGGCAAAAGGGAGGGGTGGGAGGAGGAGGAGAATGGAAAAAAGGGGAGGATGGGGAGATGGGAAGGGAGGGGAGGAATGGGGGGGTAAATTAGGTTCGGGTCTGAGGAGAAGAATACCGACAGGCTAATTCCCAGACCAAGAGCCTCTTCACCACGCCAAGGAGCCCCCCCTTGAAGAGGAATAATTAGCACAGAGTTTACCGAGACACTACAGCAATGTTTCTCGTTGTGCAGCAAAAGGCAACTGCTTAAATTATGAGATTTGTTAAAAATTAAATATTAAGATATACATGTACTGTTCAGATTATCCATTTTAACCCTTTCAGGGTTTCCAACGTACTAGTACGGCTTGCGCACCAGGGTTTTTGACGTACTAGTACACCTAAATTCTAGCGCTCTCAAATCTAGTGAGAGAAAGCTGGTAGGCCTACATATGAAAGAATGGGTCTATGTGGTCAGTGTGCTCAGTATAAAAAAAAAAAAAATTCTGCAGCACACAGTGCGTAATGAGAAAAAAAAAACTGACAGTTTTTGGTTTAAAACAGCGACTTTGCACTGTATTTTCGTATGGTATTTATGATGGTATTCTAGTTTTCCTGGTCTCATTTTATAGAATGGAAAACATATTACAGAAATTGAGACAATTTTGATTGGTTTTACAATGAAAAGTACCTTGAAATCGAGCTCAAAGTAGCAAATTTTCAATTTTTGCCAAAGTTCAAAAGTAAACAAATCATGCTATGCATCCAATACACGTCAACTGGTGAGTCTAATATTCTTTCACAAGTGCGCTGATATTATTTATACCATTTCTACACTAATGCAGTAGTCTGCATAACAGTAAATTTTCTATTTTTTGCGAGAATAAAAATTCAAAGTGGAAAGCAAAAGAATGTAAGAGGGGCGTGGAGACGTGACTAATGAACAGAGGAAATGTTATTTTAGTACCAGGAATGTCTTTCTTGTTTATTCTGGACCCTATTTGGAAATTGGCATCTTTTAAAATTTGTGTGAAATGGAAAAAATTGAAAAATTCGGGACATTTTTGGTGTCAAAATCGGTTAAGGGGTGGTTTCTTGTAATAGTCGATAGAAAAAATGGGGGTTCTAGAAAAATGTTAGATTTTTGTGACTAGTACACGGAAATTTGGCCAAAAAAGGGCTAAAAATGTGCAAATCGACGATGCGTAAAATCTCGAGCCCGTAAATCGGGAACATAATTCAAAATTTTTCCATCAAATTTCTTACTTTTGGTTATTATATGAGAATCTTTTCCCAATCTTTTCATAGAAAAAATAATTTTTTTTTTTTTTTTGAAAATTTGTCGACCTAAGAAAAAAGTCTGGGAAAAGGGCCTGTCAACCCCCAAAAGGGTTAAAACCCCCCAAGGTGCCTTTTTTCATTGAACCCCTTTAAGGATTTGTTTTATTCGATCCCCCGATCAAACCTGATCCCTTCCATTCTTCATTTTTAATAACCCCCACTGGTTTAGCACTTCCAAGATTTCAGGTATGGAAAGCTTAAAAAACTGAACAAAACCCCACCCCTTGTTTACCCAAAAAAGCACATACTTTCTGATTTCCTTTTTAAAAATTTTAAAAATTTTTCAGAAACAGTACTTTACTTCCCTTTTTCTTAATGCAAAATATTACCCAAAAAATTTTTAATTCTATTTTTTTTATATATTTCTACTTGCCTGTTTTTTCTGTCCCATATCGATATACATGTAACAATACAAAATTATATAAAACAATTTTCTCTTTAAAAGAACTTTCATTCTATTAAACTAAACACTAAATTCAACACTACATTCATTCTTCCCACGTACGTATATATAATTTATCCATAAATTATCATAGCAACTAAATGCCATTAAGTGTCTTGTCACCAAATTAATACAAGGCCTATGTGCTGGCAGCACTGTTTGACCCTATGGGTTTCGTGCTTCTCCATGAACTATTTTTTTTTTTAACACGGAGGAAGGGTGGTGACCCAAATAAAGAAAAACTTTCACCATCACTCACTCCATCACCGTCATGCCAGAGGCACAATGACAGCTCAGTTGCCCCTCCAAACTTCAATATCCCCACCCCTCCTTCAGTATGCTTAAGTTGCTCAACCATAACTGGAAAAAAATTCTCAGTCCTAGAATTTTTTTTTTTTTTTTTTATTATCACACCGGCCGATTCCCACCAAGGCAGGGTGGCCCGAAAAAGAAAAACTTTCACCATCATTCACTCCATCACTGTCTTGCCAGAAGGGTGCTTTACACTACAGTTTTTAAACTGCAACTTTAAAACACCCCTCCTTCAGGGGTGCAGGCACTGAAATTCCCCATCTCAGGACTCAGCCCGGCCTCCCGGTTTCCCTGAATCCCTTCATAAATGTTACTTTGCTCACACTCCAACAGCACGTCAAGTATTAAAAACATTTGTCTCCATTACTCCTATCAAACACGCTCAAACATGCCTGTGGAAGTCCAAGCCCCTCGCACACAAAACTCCTTTACCCCCTCCCTCCAACCCTTCCTAGGCCGACCCCTACCCCGCCTTCCTTCCACTACAGCTGATACACTCTTGAAGTCATTCTGTTTCGCTCCAATTTTCTTACATGTCCGAACCACCTCAACAAACCTTCCTCAGCCCTTGGACAACAGTTTTGGTAATCCCGCACCTCCTCCTAATTCCAAACTACGAATTTCTGCATTATATTCACACCACACATTGCCCTCAGACATGACATCTCCACTGCCTCCAGCCTTTCCCCGCTGCAAACATTCATCACCCCCGCTTCACACCCATATAAGGGGCGTTGGTAAAACTATACTCTCATACATTCCCCTCTTTGCTCCAAGGACAAAGTTCTTTGTCTCCACAGACCCCTAAGTGCACCACTCACTCTTTTTCCCTCATCAATTCTATGATTCACCTCATCTTTCATAGACCCATCCGCTGACACGTCCACTCCCAAATATCTGAATACGTTACCTCCTCCATACTCTCTCCCTCCAATCTGATATTCAATCTTTCATCACCTAATCTTTTTGTTATCCTCATAACCTTACTCTTTCCTGTATTCACCTTTAATTTTCTTCTTTTGCACACCTACCAAATTCATCCACCAATCTCTGCAACTTCTCTTCAGAATCTCCAAGAGCACAGTGTCATCAGCAAAGAGCAGCTGTGACAAACTCCCACTTTGTGTGTGATTCTTTATCTTTTAACTCCACGCCTCTTGCCAAGACCCTCGCATTTACTTCTCTTACAACCCATCTATAAATATATTAAACAACCACGGTGACATCACACATCCTTGTCTAAGGCCTACTTTTACTGGGAAAAAATTTCCCTCTTTCCTACATACTCTAACTTGAGCCTCACTATCCTCGTAAAAACTCTTCATGCTTTCAGTAACCTACTCCTACACCATACACTTGCAACATCTGCCACATTGCCCCCTATCCACCTGTCATACGCCTTTTCCAAATCATAAATGCCACAAAGACCTCTTTAGCCTTATCTAAATACTGTTCACTTATATGTTTCACTGTAAACACCTGGTCCACACACCCCTACCTTTCCTAAGCCTCCTTGTTCATCTGCTATCCTATTCTCCGTCTTACTCTTAATTCTTTCAATTATAACTCTACATACACTTTACAGGTACACTCAACAGACTTATCCCCCTATAATTTTTGCACTCTCTTTTATCCCCTTTGCCTTTATACAAAGGAACTATGCATGCTCTCTGCCAATCCCTAGGTACCTTACCTCTTCCATACATTTATTAAATAATTGCACCAACCACTCCAAAACTATATCCCCACCTGCTTTTAACATTTCTATCTTTATCCATCAATCCCGGCTGCCTTACCCCTTTCATTTTACCTACTGCCTCACGAACTTCCCCACACTCACAACTGGCTCTTCCTCACTCCTACAAGATGTTATTCCTCCTTGCCCTATACACGAAATCACAGCTTCCCTATCTTCATCAACATTTAACAATTCTCAAAATATTCCTTCCATCTTCCAATACCTCTAACTCTCCATTTAATAACGCTCCTCTCTATTTTTAACTGACAAATCCATTTGTTCTCTAGGCTTTCTTAACTTGTTAATCTCACTCCAAAACTTTTTCTTTTTTTCAACAAAAATTTGTTGAAAACATCTCACCACTCTCTCATTTGCTCTCTTTTTACATTGCTTCACCACTCTCTTAAACTTCTCTCTTTTTCTCCATATACTCTTCCCTCCTTGCATCACTTCTACTTTGTAAAAAACTTCTCATATGCTAACTTTTTCTCCCTTACTACTCTCTTTACATCATCATTCCACAATCGCTCCTTTCCCCTCCTGCACCCACTTTCCTGAAACCCACAAACTTCTGCTGAACACTCTAACACTACATTTTTTAAACCCTACCCCATACCTCTTCGCCCCCATTGCCTATGCTCTCATTAGCCCATCTATCCTCCAATAGTGTTTATATCTTACCTAACTCCCTCCTCTTTTAGTTTATAAACCTTCACCTCTCTTTTCCCCTGATGCTTCTATTCTCCTTGTATCCCATCTACCTTTTACTCTCAGTGTAGCTACAACTAGAAAGTGATCTGATATATCTGTGGCCCCTCTATAAACATGTACATCCTGAAGTCTACTCAACAGTCTTTTATCTACCAATACATAATCCAACAAACTACTGTCATTTCTCCCTACATCATATCGTGTATACTTATTTATCCTCTTTTTCTTAAAATATGTATTACCTATAACTAAACCCCTTTCTATACAAAGTTCAATCAAAGGGCTCCCATTATCATTTACACCTAGAAATTAATTCCAAAATGAACCTACTTTTCTAACAATATCTTACTTAAAAAACAAGACACATGATAAACCTTACATATCTTAAAAGATCTTAAAAAGTACCTGAAGCAAGAATATTGCAATCTCTTGAAAATGCAATTGTATAAATTGTTGAAGTGTGTGATGCCATCTCTGCAATAAGGTGACCATGCCCTAAGTCCCATACTAGAACACGTTTGTCCCCACCAGCAGATGCTAAAAAGCGTCCACAAGGAGAAAATGCAAGGGCATCAATTACATCCTGTAGAAATAGTTAAAATACCATTGTATTAAATATAAATAAATTATACACAAAAAAATACGTACATGTACACATATACATATACAGCCAACCTTTGAACAACGCAAAGGTTATGGGTGCCAATCCCCCTTGCAGCCAAAAACCTGGTTTAGAAAGATGTGTAAGCAAACACTATGACATATTTATTAGAAAACGTTTTGGTCCTGGGACCTTGATCACTTCTAACATACAGAGGTAGAAAGACATTACATGTATATACATAGGCGGAGAGTGAGGAGTGAGTGACGCACGGTGACCTGAAGAATGTCATGTCGGGATGAGGACAGGTAGACGATGAAATCATGTGACTCCTGTGTTGTTGCGTTGGTGGTGCTTAAGTATCATGTATGCCAATGTTTTTGAAATTTTGTAGTTTCCAATGTTACGTTCTATAGTGTCGGTGATGGCGATTAGTGAGGCTTCTAGGCGCCGTCGGCGTCTGAGGTCTGGTTTGGTGAGAACGAGTTGTGCCTCATTCCAGTTCATCAAATGCCCCGTGGAGTCTCTGTGGAGGACACAGGCGTACTTACATCGTCTTGTTAGAGGCATTTTGATGCTCATTCAGGCGGACTGCAAGATCTCTGCCTGTCTCGCCTACATATTTCTTGGGACAGAATCCACATGGGATAGTGTAGACGCCTGCTGTAGAAGTTAGAGGTGTGGGGCTGCGTTTCAAAGTGAGGTCTTTGATAGATGATGTGTTTATGGTGGAAACGTTAATGTTACTCATAGCAAGTGCCCGGTGAGTATTCATGGCAACATCACCACATGGGAACACTATGAACTGTTTAGGGGGCTGTTCCATGGGCAGTTTGTTGAGGATAGCTTGTGCCTTGAGTCTGCAATCTCAGATGAAGAAAGATGGGAACTGAAGATGTGTAAAGGCTTGTGTTATGTAGGTACATTCTTCTTCAAGAAAACAAGGGATGGAGATGCAAAGAGCTCTCAAGAAGAAGCCAATGAGGACTCCTCTTTTAGTGTGGATGTCTTGGTGTGAATAAAAGTGTATAAGATTGTCCTTGTTGGTAGGTTTTCTACCTCTTTCTACCTCTGTATGTTAGAAGTGATCAAGGTCCCAGGACCGGAACATTTTCTAATAAATATGTCATAGTGCTTGCTTACGTGTCTTTCTAAACCAACTTGTTAGTATTTATTACCACGGTTTATACCAGTCAAAAACCTGTATAAAGCTTTTGACTCCTCAAAATCTTAAGTACTAATGGCCTACTGTTGACCAGAAGCCTTACCATAAGTTTACATTTCTCTCAACTGCAAAAGGAACATGTACAATCTGTAATTGTGTGCTTGTTTTGGATAATTTTAACTTTTTATAATAGATTTGTGTATATTTTATGGTAGTAAATGATAAAATAAACTAGTATCTACATATATTTTAAGCATTCATGACATAACTTTTTCCTAATTTTTTTTGGTCACAAATCTACAAAACAATTTTCAAATAGATTTATTGAAAAAATCCATGTACAGTGGACACCCGAGTTTCGTGACTAAGTTCCAGAGAGTCTGCCGAACGATGAAATTCACGAATGGTGAAACCATTTTCCCCATAAGAAATAATGTAAATCCAATTAATCTGTTCCAGACACCCAAAAATATTAAAAAAAAAATCAAATTAAATAAATAACAAAAAGGCACAATACCGTGACTGGAACGATACACAAATAACCCGCACATAAAAGAGAGAAGCTTACGACGACGTTTCGGTCCGACTTGGACCATTGACAAAGTCAATGGTCCAAGTCGGACCGAAACGTCGTCGTAAGCTTCTCTCTTTTATGTGCGGGTTATTTGTGTACAAATTAAATAAAGATTTACATTCAGAAAACAATGAGAAATCAAGTACATACATATATAAAATAATAATATTACACTTACCTTTACTGAAGATTTTTGGGTGGATGGAAGACAGGAGGAGGGGAGAGGATGAAGGTGCACTATTGTTGGAAGGGGAATCCCCTTCTATAAAGACTTTAGGTACCAAGTCCTTTTCTGGGGTTACTTCCCTTTGTTTTTCAATGCCACTGGGACCAGCTCAAGAGTCACTGGACCCCTGTTGCACAAAATATCTGTCCAGAGAACTCTGTTTCTGGCATTTCTTTAAAACTTCCCTGAAATGGGACTCAACATTGTCATTGTACATGTTGCCAACATGGCCTGCAACAGCTTTGCCAGGGTGAAGTTCATCCATAAATGTTTGCACCTTTGTCCACATTGCACAATTGTCCTTAATCTTTGAAGAAGGCATCTTCCTCCATCTCTCTTCCTCCTCCTCTGAAGCAATTTCCTGAGCTGTGGTCTGTTGCTGTTACAGATGAAACTCTTGCAGCTCTGTAGTGGTTAGCTCTTCATTGTGGTCCTCCACCAGCTCTTCCACATCCTCGAAACTCACATCCAACCCCATGGAATTCCCTAATGCCACAATACTTTCCACAACTGGCATAGGCTCCTCAGGGTCAGCCCCAAACCCTTCAAAAGCCCTCTCTTGTACACACTGTGGCTACAATATTCTACAAGCAGAGTTCAAAGTCCTGGAAGTCACTCCCTCCCGAGCCTTACCTATAAGGTTAATGCAATGGAGGATACTGAGGTGATCTTTCCAGAACTCTCTCAGGGTCAATTCAGTGTTTGAGGTCATTTTCAAAGCACTTTTGAAACATGCTTTGGTGTTACAGTTTTTGAGTTTTTGAAAATGACTGCTGGTCCATGGGTTGGAGGAGAGGGTGGTATTGGGGGGCAAGAACTTCACTGTGATGAAATGAAACTCCTGCACCATTTGCTTTTCCCAAGTCTAAAAGTGAGAGGAGCAGTGTCCATTCCCAGGAGGCACTTAAATTTCCCAAAATTTTATTTTCCAGGAGGTTTTTTTTCACACTGGGGCAAAAAAATTCATTGAACCAATCAAGGAAAATTTCCCTCATGACCCATGCCTTAACTGTTAGCCTTCCACATCACACAAATTAGCCTTGGTGACACTGTTTTTCTTGAACAGTCTGGAATTTTCAGAATGATACACCAGTAAAGGCTTTACTTTGCAATCCCCACTAGCATTACTACAAAACATGAGAGTTAGCCTGTCTTTCGTAGGCTTGTGTCCTGGCAGTGCCGTTTCCTCCTGCATGATGTAGGTCCTCTTTGGCATTTTCTTCCAAAAGAGGCCTGTTTAGTCACAACTGAACACATACTGAGGTTTGAATTGTTCAGCCTCTAAGTACCCCTTTGAATTCCTGAACATATTTTTTAGCTGCATATTTGTCAGAACTTGCAGCTTTGCCATGCCTTACCACACTGTGTATGCCACTATGCTTCTTAAATCTCTCAAACCAGCCTTTGCTGGCCTTAAAATCACAAACATCATCACTCCTTGCAGGCATTTTCTTTACGAGATCGTCATGCAACTGCCTTGCCTTTTCACAAATTATCGACTGCATAACACAATCTCCTGCTAACTGCTTTTGGTTAATCCACACCAACAATAACCTCTCCACTTTGAGTATTTGTGATCCCTTTTTTTGTGAGCATATCTATCCCTTTTGCAACAACAGCTTCCTTGATTTACTTTCCCTTCGCCATGATCGAAGTGATGGTTGAATGGTGTTTTCCATACATCCTGGCAAACTCTGAAACACGCACTCCACTTTCATATTTTTCAACGATTTCTTTCTTTAATTCGATCGTGTTTCTCACTTTCTTTACCAAAGGGTTGGCACTAGCTTTCTTTGGGCCCATGGTGACTTATTTAGCAGTTGGAGGCACAAAAAAAGAATGGAATATTACGAGATGTATCGTATGAATCCTCCATGGGGAAGTGGAACAGAATTCTTCCTCCGTAAGCCATGCGTGTTGTAAGAGGCGACTAAAATGCCGGGAGCAAGGGGCTAGTAACCCCTTCTCCTGTATAAATTACTAAATTTAAAAAGAGAAACTTTTGTTTTTCTTTTTGGGCTACCCTGCCTCAGTGGGATATGGCCGGTTTGTTGAAAGAAGAAGTATCGTATGAATGCGTGCGATGATGGTCACTTGCTGATAAACAATGCCACACTGACTGTGAATGGTGCAGAAGACTGGCTTTGTGTGCATGCTGACGCTGGGATGCCGCTTGGACCCATACCAGACGGTTGCCGAATCACGAAGCCAATCATGAACGGCGAGGCTATATTTTGATGAAAAAAGTTGCCCAAAGTCGAATTTCACCAAAGTCGCGGCCACCAAAACTCAGGGGTCCACTGTATGTGTGTGGACCTGCACAGTTCAAACCTGTGTTGTTCAAGGGTCAACTGTATGTGCATATACACATATACACATACATACACACACACACATGCATATACATACACATACATATGCACACACTATATAAAAATTCTTTCAGAACTTTCATAAGGAACTTTTTATGCACAATACTGAAATAATACTGGATTTATTGTAAAATATGGAAAAAAAGGTTACTGAAAATACGGCAGCATACCCATCAATATGATTTCAACACGAGCACATAAAATACAGTGGAAGCTTGGTTTTTGTTTTTAATTTGTTCCAGAGAGTTTGATGAAAACCAAATTCAATGAAAACTAAAGCAATATTTCCCAAAAGAAATAATGTAAATCCAATTAATTCGTTCCAGATACCTAAAAATATTAACAAAACAGTAATTTTATAGAGAATAACTATAGTTTTACATACAGACAACAATGAGAAATATAAATTTTAATGATAAATGAACATTTAAAACAGTTTTACCTTTATTGAAGACTCTTGTTGGCATATGGAAGACGGTGAGGAGGGGAGAGGGAGGAGAGTTTCTTGTTTGGAAGGGGAATCCCCTTCCATAAGAACTTCAGGTATCAAGTCCCTACCCAGGGTTACTTCCCTTCCTTGTCTTTTACTGGCATTAGGACCAGCTTCAGTCTCTGTACCCCTGTCGCACAAAACAACTTCTCAAC